GTATGCGTTTCTTTCATAAACCTCCACTCTCGCTCTCGTCGGCCCAATCTTGCCGAAATGTACGTCCGGTAAATCGATTAAAAACGCGCTATACTGTTAAACTGGTTCCCTGTACGTCCGTTCACACATGTAGGTTCCACTAGAACACACAAGGTGTCCTCATTTAGGTAGAGAGACTGTTACGTAAATGTAGTAGTGCTATGACTGGGGCCATCCTTGCTGTCCCCCGACCCATGATTTTTTTAGTGGGTAGGTAGGTAGGTCTTTTTCTTTTTTTGTGAGGCATAATAGTTATTTTAAGTCTGTCCTCATGTTTGCCACACATGCTTTGTGTTTCAGTCTTAACTATAAGGAATGTAAAAAAAAAAAGGAACCCAAAATGAAAAAAAAAACTTGGGTCGCGGCTATTTTCGTGGGTTGGTCGGAGGACAGCAAACATATAATTTTTTAAGGATGGCATGGTGAATAAATTCTCGAGGTGTCGTGCGTCCATTAAGCCGAGATAGTTGCAAAGTTCAGAACGCGAAAAGTTTCCGTGAAAAAATTGGGGAAATTTTCGGTAATTTTAAGGCATTTTTCAGAAATATTTGGGAACTTCTATGTATATTTTAGAATCCTTTCGAATATTCGGTATGCCGATGTCGGAAACATGTGCGACCTTGCATTAGGGTTTTATAGGGTAGTTAAACAGTCGTGTGTCATCAGTGATCAGTCTTGATTGTTGCTAATTACATCATTACATACTAGTGCTTTGGGATTTCTGTCAGCTCATAAATCCTGAATTGCATTTTAGTCACAACACTGACAACAAACATTCAAACACAACCGGTATAGCCGTAGAAAAAAAGACTAATCAACGGATGAATGAATAAGTGCATCCAGTCGTTCTAGTGGTATTTACGTGAGCGCTATGTTTTCTGTTTGCAGGGTGAGCTAGAACGACTCAATTCAGCCACAACCGAGATCAATAGACTTGAGAAGGAAGTGGATGTGAGTATATCTATAGAAAACCCCGGATGTCAGTGCTTTTTTTTGAAAATCAATTCGAGACTGTGTTCCGTGTTGCTATTTATCTAGTGTTGCTATTTATCTATTCGTGCAGCCAACTATGGCTTAAAAAGAGCATGCACCAATTGTCAATGAGGGGAGCACAGGTCAACGACGATTGAGCATGGCAAAATGTAAATCTGTGTATATATTGATGAACTTTGCAATATTTCTAGTAATTTGTCGTTTTATGAAGTGCATTTCACCGGACAGTATTTGCACAAGGATCGCGAAACAATGATTGGATTGTTTGAACACGCTTAAGCCTGGCGCACATTGCCGAACATTTTCCCGAACAAATGTTCGTCCGAACAAATGTTTTTGTCTGGC